ATCGTCTCCTGAATCGGCTCGAAATGTGCAACTATTTCCGAGCGCTGTTATATATGAAAGCTATGTTAGTAATGAATATTTTTTCTCATTAATATTACTTTTCAAGTATCATAATTTATTAATAATTATACGAAATTATTTCTAAGATATTATACATACTGTGTGAACAGGGCCGCTGCTGGGCATATAAGGTACTTTTATGCAAAGGAGATTTTGATGCCCATCCTTATTAATGTTTTTATTTAATGAAAAAGCAGGAATACATTTTTATTAAAACATTTTTTAAAATAATTTGTTTAAATAACTTTAGAGTGGGCATATTTTTATATTTTTACTCCTAGTACTAAAATGATTCAGCACAGCTCTGTGCGTATAGAAAGATTTTAGAGGCGCCGAGAAATAGACAATTATTTTTTCATTCAACCAATGGTCTTGGATTTCACGATACGGTTTTTCTAAATTGATATACAGTACTTGTTTCAAAAGAAGTTATATCTTACAGATACAAGCATATACAATTGGTGTTAGAAATGGAAAAATGATTTTTAAAATTTAATCTGGCGTTCCTCATGTTAATGTGTTTTTGTGTAACGCTCAATTTATACACCGGTTTGTGGCAATCCTGTGTATGAATAGTTTTAGAAAGTATTTTTAAAAATGTATATCTATTATATTATTATATAATTCTTTTTCAGTCTACAATCTTATATAGGAAATTTTCTAAATTTTTTAAGTCTTTAATCTTTTTTTAACATAGTACAGTGCTTCGGTTTCATCTTCCATACAACTGATTGTGGCTAGTTATAATATAATTGTGTTCGTAATGCTGAGACATGTGACATTAAAAACAAGAAAATAAATAATTGCGTCATGACCGACATATCAGAAAAGACGTATGATAGCTGCGACACTGTTGTGTTTCTGTGTAATCGCAGGATAAAATTTTTGCATAAAAATTGTTTATTTATCTACGACTGATATTCAATGGTGTTTGTTTATCCCTTACTACTTGAGTGTAACGCATAATAATCAAATGCGTAAATTGCTAAAAAAAAATTTCCTGTTCTACATATTTATTTATATACATTTTCTATTATTGCATCTTGCATCTTAAATTGTTGCATTTTAAATTGTTAAAAGCCACATGTGTATGGATATTAAAATAATGGAATAATTTATAGAATAAAATTAAGCTATTATATATGTAATAAACAAAAATTTGCTTTTTAAACATATAATTGTATAAAAAACCAAAATTGTTATAATAAAATTGTTTTAAAACAGAGAGATTTCGTCGATTGGTTAGCAAAATGTTAAAAACAGTTGCTTGGATTAAAGATGCGTACATTGTATCGTTATGTCGGTCAATGTTATTGAATCTTATTATATATATATATCAGTAGTTTCATAATGAAATACTTTAAAATTAACAATGTCCGTACGGTTAATTTAATATTAATATATTCGTGTAATTAAGTCTCTTTTTTTGTTATATCATACAATAAATTGTAAAAATGCCAAATAAATTAACAAATATTGGTTAAACTTCGTATATGTATATAGAATTATGCAATATACATAAAAAAAAAGAACGTAGTAAGAGAATATGAAATTTTCGATAGCTATAGAAAATTTCTTACTAATAACAAATTAATGGTGCGCGCATGTGCGGCCTAGTATTTTAAGTTATATAAATTTGCTAATATTAAAAAAGTATGTTCTCCAACATATAAATATCGGAATTAAAGAAATAACATTTTACTAATTAGTTATTTTTAGCTATGTTAACCATCTTCATCAAGTAATTATTTATCGCACATATTCGATATAACAAGAAAACATAAAAATTGTTTCAGGAAATTTATTTTTCAACTAAGAATTATTGTTCTGATAATACATTTGTTTCTCTATGGAATTTCAAACTTAATACGTTTTCTTTGATATTGTTTGTCAAAATAACAAAGAACAAATATTTGTCGTTAATGATTGATGTGGATAACTAAGTCAGTGTATAAATCGGAAGTGAAGGCTTCAGCGAGTCTTAAAGCCATGACCTCCTATACTTTTGTTCGCTGGATTATGTAATAATAATTTATTATAAGTAAAATGTTAAATTACGATTTTTTTATTATTATTCAATAATACTAGAAAATAAAAGCTATTACGAGCCGAGCTGGGTGCAATTGCTCCTTTTTATTTATTAATAATATATTTCCACAAACGTTTCGAACAAACCATTCGGGTTGTGGTCATCCTCAATGTGTTAATTTACAATACCATTAAAATTATCCTATTTATTATTTTTACATACTATTTGTTTATACAAGTTAGTCCATTAATTGTATACAGATTTACATTAAAATTATAAATTTTATCATCTACAGTTTTACTATTAAAATCTACTGTGTACTCCATTTCCGTCTTTGTAATTTTGATTTTTTTCAATTCATCAGTAGAAAAAGATCTGGATTGATGAATTGACAAGAATCAAAATTACAAAGACGAAAATGGAGTACATAGTAGATTTTAATAGCAGGACTGTAAACGATAAAATTTATAATTTTAATGTAAATCTGTATACAATTGATGGACTAACTTGTATAAACAAATAGTATGTAAGAATAATGAATAGGATAATTTTAATGGTATTGTAAATTAATATACTGAGGATGACTACAACCCGAATGATCGAAACGTTTGTGGAGATATAATATTATTAATAAATAAAAAGGAGTCTTTGCCCCCAGCTCGGCTCGTTATTTTCTAGTATTATTGAATAATTTATTATTCCATTGATAAAAATATGACGTAGTAAACGTATAAAAAATTTTTTGTTGAATCTAAGTTTCTAAAGTAAAAAATTTTCATTTTAAATAGTTTATAATTTTAGAATGTGTAGCATTTCTTAAAATTTTTTCAAAAATTAATTTGAAATATTTACAAGAAATAGATTTAATACGGTTTGTCTAAATTGATATATAGTATTGATATATAGATATGAAGTTGTCTGACAGAAGCAAGCACACGCAATTGGTGTTTGAATGAAGAAGTGATTTTTAAAAATTAATTTGGCGCCCCCCTTGTTAATGCACCTTTGTGCAATATACAACTTGCACACCTGCTTGCGGCGACCCTGTGTATGAGTAGTTTTGGAACGTACTTTTTTAAATGTATATCTATTATATTATTATATAATTTCTTTTTCAGTCTACCGTCTATTGTATAACAAATTTTCAAGATTTTTTAAGTATCTTTTTTTTAACAGCGCAGTGCTTCTGTTTCACCTTCCATGCAATTGATTAGAGATTACATTATAACATTATAAATTTATAAAAAAAAATTAATTAAAAAAATAAAAAATTTACAAAATTTGATCATTTTTGAAATAAATAACAATGCAAATGTGCAAAACAAAATTATTTCAATAGAAAAAAATTAAATATTATTTTACTAAAATAATTCTTATCTTTAGTAAGATTTAAAATCAGAATATATATATATATTGTCACTTTCAATTACGACGCAATTGTGATTTGCGAGACATTTGATGTACGTGCAATCAAGAAGTATAATTACGATGGAAGTATTTTATCCATTATTTAATTTTAGTAATTTTTAAAATTTTATTAAAAGTAATAAAATAATAATATAGTAATTATAATAAGCTCTATATAAATTATTAATAAAAATAAGTTATAAGAATATATGAATAAATATAATTTTCAATTAATTATAATTAATATATAAAATTTTCTAATGTTTATTTAATTAGCAATTTATCTGTATTTGCCAAAATTGATAATGTTTAAAAATTCTTCGAAAACTGGGTAGTAAAGGTAACACATAGCAATTTTTTTTAAATTTATTATGAAATTTTTTGTGAAGAAAAATGGGAAGTATCGAAATTAGAAATACGCATATTTAGTATACTAGCTTTTTACAATATTTAATGTCACAATTATATATGTATTACAATTGATATTTACATTATTGAGGTTGCATTATAATATATATATGTATATTTGATATCTCTAAAAAACATCTCCAATAATTAATTATAATACAACTTCAATAATGTGAATATAAATTATAGTGCAAATAGGATATATACATAGAATTTTAAATTAAGTTGACAAACTTGAAGGATTTTTTGACAAATTTGGAATCTTATATTATAATATTCAAAATGTTAATAAATCGATCGATTAAAATGTTAATAAAATTTACTATGACGATTGTGTTTTGCGTTGTTTTTAAAACTTTCCAGTAAGAACGTACAAATTTTTATATTTTACTATTTTTATAAAAATTTACATACATAATATACAAGTTTATTATCTGCATAAATTTTTCTGTTTATTTTTATATGATTAAGAAAAGTTTAATACCAAACTGATTAGACATACAAACGCACATACACACATATAATAAAAATGTAAAATGGTTGAAACGAATATCTTGCAGATGGCTAAAGCAAAATTTGATAAATTTACTTTAGCAAGAGAACAAATCTCTTATATCTCAAGATAAAAGTTGATAAATTTATCTTAGCTATGTGACGCTATAAATTGTATTAAACGTTAATATTTTCGCATCTCCATCTTTCATAGTTACAAAGAGTCTCCAATTTTATGAAAGTAGTAATTAAGTTCTGTGTGTTGCGCGCGTCATCCGGTAGAAGTGTCAGCGCTAAGGATCGCTTGCCAATCACTCGTTCTCGGCACAAGTGTACGGCGAATCAATCTTTTCACGTTTTTCTACCGGTATGCGTTAACCTACTTTCGTAACTAACATTGTGGAAATATTGACGAAATAATGTCGGACTCATGAAAACATCGCATTAGCGGCGTTTTATTATATATCTATGTTACAGAAGCTAATGTGTGTCAAGCTGTTTCTTGACAAACTAATCTCCCGTAAGACTCATGGAAGTTTGTTCGTGCAATTGCCTACGGATGGAAAAAGTCGCTGATGGATCCTTTAATCGGATTTACCGCCGTCTGTCTCGAAAGCCGTATAACCGTTAACGTTAATAGTGCCATTCGTAGCGATATTGACAATTTTATTGATCTTACGCTCTCGCCGTTCGGTCGGTTTCATATAATTTTTCACATAGAACGATCCGAACATGTAAATAAACAGGCCGGAATTGAGCACGAGTAGGAACGACAGCGGCTTCGGGAAGTTGCAGTTGGTAAACAGCATCTGGAGATTGTGGAAGAATATTATGATAAACTGCACGATTTGCATGGTGGTCAGGTGCTTCTTCCACCAAAGGTACTTCTGCATGTGCGGACCGAACGCGGCCAGCATATAGTACGTGTACATGAAGATGTGGATGAAGGAGTTGATGACGCCGAGGAGGGTCGGGTGTCCACCGGCGAAGAACTTCGCACCGATCCAGGCGCAGATCGGCATCATCGAATGATGGTACAGATGCAGGAACGAGATCTGCCGGTCTTTCTTGCGCATCACGAAGAACACCGTGTCCAGCAATTCGATCAATTTGCATATGAAATACGTATAAACGGCACGGGCCATCTGCAATTTGGAGTGTGGAGTGTCATAATTATGGGAGAATCAAGCGAAACGAGGTAACAGTTGTAATTATCGTCAAGTAACTTTTCCTCCGCGGAGAGCGAATTGCTTCTTCATCTGAACTCGGCTTGGAATTTACACAATTCAGACACCTGTTTCATGTTGCGGCAATCGACGCGATTGCACGAATGTCCTGTCACTTTTCGGACCACGAAAACCACGAATCTATACTTAATTGTCTGACATGTTAATTGGGATAATTTCTGTCATACCGTGTTTGTATAATTTTTATCGAAATTCTTCTCGAGGTCTTTTATAATTTCTTACATAAAATTTAATTGTCTATATCTGCAGAAATTTCAAATTTTGCAATTTTGAAATAATGTATTCAAAATAGATTTAAATTAATTAAATTAAAATCTCTTAAAAAATCTTATCGCCAATATTTTCATACAATGTAAAAAGATTATAGAAAAATTGTAGAACTCATTATAAAAATGCAATAATACAAATGTAGAAAAATATTGCTATAACATTATTGTAAAATTATTTAATTCTTACCCTCGTTGAGCTCGGTTTATTTGAATAATCAACCGGCTGACAAATATAATTGTATTCGTATAACCAACCACTCAGCAAGCCCTCATGAACGAGGTAAAGACTTAGAAGGACTTGAATGAAATTGTAAACTATCATGGTGTTCTTCAAGTCGTATGGTTTTTTGTCTTTCATGTATCTCGGTCCGGCGGAAACGCAAAAGTATATATATGTCGCTACGATCGTCAGGGTTGGACCAGGGCCAGAAACTAGAAACCATCCTACTGTTCTCGGATCTGGAAAGACAATAATTAAATATCACAAAAAAAATAATTAGGGAATCTCTATATTACAAATTACCTTGCTTATTGTCCATCAAATCTCTATACCATTCTACGATACCCGACATTTTGGATCGTTTAAGTTTGTAAATCTGTAAAAAAAAAACACGTTATAAGTTAATTTAAAGTTATTTAAAGTTATTTAAAGTTAATTTTCTTTCTTTTATCAATTTTCACATCTTTTTTTTTTAAAGAAATTAGAACATAACATTGTGTGTGCTACACGGGTGCAATTTTTAACCTTAAAAATATAAAATGTAATATAAAAAGAAAATACAACTAATTTAAATAAAATTTAAAATTTACGTTTTATCATATTTAAACCAATGATCCTTATGTTAATAATTACATCTATGCAATTATGGATAAATATTGGCAATAAAAAAAATTAATTAATTATTAAATTTATGTAAGAACTTAAAACATTTCCTTATAATACTTTATAATACAACTTTTCAATGATAGTTGATTAACATAGACTTTTTTTGTTTAAAATATCAGATTTAATGCATCGCAGAAAAGAAAATGTGAATTCTAAAAAATGCTAAGTTCACTAAAATTTTATAGTATAAAATCCAAGTATCCAAAATTGAATAAAATATATGGTCAATTCTAACATTTTAGACTATTTCTTTATGTAAAATATAAGAAAATATAAAATTTTCATCATGTCACAAATTTTTATTATGTTTTAATGACAGTTTACAAATATATATGAAATACATTTAATTTTTTATAAATTGTGCTTCGTATATTTATCTGTAGGATAATAATAATAAGATATTTAAATAGTTTTGTCTCTTAAGTTGTAATGAATATGTAACTGAAAAAAAGAGAGAGTTGGAAAAGCTTTCGTTATTTTGCACGAAAATTTCACTATTGCATCTTTTTTCGAGTTTAAGTACTCATAAGACTCAGAAGATTACTCCAACGGTTGCAACATTTATACAGTGTTGCAACTACGTCGTTACGCGGATATGTCAAGAAATTTACATACGGCGACAAAAGTGCAATGCATTGTTCGCGTCGTCTCTTCGATCGTTTTCTATCGTCAAGAATGTAAATTGAGGGAGCGATTAAGATGGGAGTTATAAAGCAGTTTATACCTTTTCCTAAATGCAGTGAGCGATTGCATATACATGCAATTTCAACAAGCGTTCTGTGAATTCGAAAAATTTTCTATGATTATCCGAGACTTTGCAAATGTGAATCAATCGCCAATTCCTTTGGCAGTAACTAATTATAAAATTAATCATAGCTTGTACTTAGTTATATCTTTATCTTTTTTGGATTATATTTCTCAAGAATAATAAAAACATTTAAACTATTATATTGAAATAATTACTAATAATATTAATTATTATAATTTTAATTATAATTAAGTCTATAAATTGTATACTTTAAATATGACATTATATTTAAGCAAATTATACAATGTACAATTATTTTGGCAATCCTGTGATCTACTAAAACATTACAAAAATGTTTCTTGGGGTGACGAAATTAATAAATATAAATTTACATTAGTAAGAATTAATCTTCTAACGTTCTATTTGTGATGTGCGATGTTTCTCTCTTAATGTAATTTTTTTAATATAATCGAATTCAGCATATTAGCTAACTCGATTTTCTTTTACCTGAATGATCTTTTGTTTTGTAAGAGAAAGTGGATTTACTTACATGAATCATCAGAATTCTTCGACGCGAAACCGAAAACCAAATAGAAAACTAACCAGATAAAAAACGAAAAATGTAAGAATCTTCTAAAGTTATCGTATTTTAATCTTTTATTATGCCGCTGATTTAATATCAATCAAAACACAAGCGTGTTGCATTTAATGATATTATAATTATTGTCAGCAAAATTTTCACAGCACGCTTAATCTGTAAAATCTACGAACTTAAATACACGAATATTTCTCATTACTTTAATTCGTGGAATACGCAAAATTGCCTATATAATTTACGCATCCACTGAAGAACGTTATTTATGTAAAAAGAAAAAACTAATTATGTCGAATAAAAAGTGAAATAAGAGAAAATAAAAGGGAAACTCGAGAGCTGTACTTATGTGCTGTGCTAAGAAAGATTTTGGATTTTATTAGCGGTCAAAGATCTTTTCAAGGAAATAACAAGTTTCAGGCCAAGTTCGGATCAAGGTAAACGAGATTTCTGCGCACAGCGGCATGAAACTACTGCTTTTCTTTATTTCTTTCTCCATTGTACGCGTCAGGATAAACGAGCGGACTTTCCAAATGATCTATCTCATTCTGTATCCTTAAAGGCCACCGCAATGATAGTAAATGATTCGTTTGTGATTATTCGCAAAGATATAAGTATATATGTGACTGTTCGTGATGCAATATGTAATTGCTTTTACAAAGATAAGTGAAAAATAATAAATTTAATAGTCATATTGTAAAATTGTTACATACCTCTGAATTAAATATATTGTCTTCATTTTACACTTATATTTTAATGCGTGTACAAGTGCTTAAAAGTTTACGTAAAATTTAATGTTATCTTTTTGCAAAAAAATATGTAAAATGTGAGCTAGAAAGTTTGAAAGAAAAAAAGAATATTTTTACTACCAGTATTTATTATTAGTTCCAACATCTTGTACATTTTACTTAATTATTATAAATGCGTAATTTTTGTGAAAATATTACTTAAGGCTAATACTAACAATAGATCATAATTTATAATAAATTGCAATTGCAATTCGTAAGCAATCTACTGGATTCTTTTAACAAGAGTTTTCAACTATCGTTTAGATTTTTTTAGATTTGTGAGATATCGAAAACAGTATAGATAAAAATCGATAATTTAGTTCAATACAAATAATACGATAATGGCACTATGTCACAGTCAGTATGTCGTAAGCGGTAAAAGAATCGACTGGCTGTTGTGTTTTCTTGTGAAATCATTATTAGCAGTAAATCGTTATTTAACAACGCGGCTTTAAAAGAAATGATTAAGATCTTCGAAGGACAATGATTGCGGCCGAATTTTTGTGGTCAACCACACTTTACGAGGAAAAAAAGGCAATTTCTTCTCGTATGCTTATGTTAATGCTACCTACCCTGCCATTTTTTATACGGATGTGTGATTCAAGTTTTATTTAACTATTCAGCATATCTGTTATTATAATAAATGTAGAGATCGAGAAGAAAAAAGAGTGAAAGAATATTATTGGGTGAGACCGAATTCCGACGGTGCATTGCCTGATTAATGGACGAGCGGTCTGATGAAAGCACAAGTCACGGTGCATCTACGAGATACCCTATTCTTGATTTGTGATTGCAGGGTACTCAATGTCCTTGGGAGAAAAGCCTTGAGGAATAAAAAATAAATTTAAACCGGTCGTTATTATTCGCGGAACTTTCCATGCTCCGCATAAACATATAAAGCAAGATCCGTTGAAAGCGGAAAGAATTCATGACGGCAATGCAATCGAAATTTCTGAGATGTTAAGTGTACTTTTCACTTGTAAATCTTTAATTATTTTTTCGCACATGTCGATTATCTTGTTTACTTTGTATTTCGTTTAGAGAGGTTTCAACAAGCTGTTTAAAAATTCAAGAGTACATTTCTAAACTGAAGTGACATCGATTGCGCAACAAAAATGTCCGGATCAATAAATCTTACTTTACTTACAAGTTGGAATAAGAGAGAGAGAAACGTTAAAATAAAAGAATATTCACTTGTCCGACTCTCAATTCAATATGACTTAGCAAAGCTTATATTCATGAATTTTTCATAGAGAGGATATATTAGATTTTCATTATATTATGACACAGCATTTTACACTCGTACGCAATACGAACTCGCTGCGCAGAAACGCGAAATATTTATGCTTTATTTGAATCCAGCATATTTAACAATTATTAAAAAAATATTATTTCTCAAATAGAATCTTGTTTCCCAGATTTTTCTTTACTTTGTACTCACGTTTTTAATTATTTGTTTCTTTTTTTAGAATTATTAAGTAATTTGGACATATAAACTAACAAAATAAGTTAAGAAAATAAAAAATTTTTGTATCGATAATAGTATGATGAAAAAAGTGATTTATAAGCTGCGTTCATTTAAAATAGCAAGTCATATGTTCTACTTGCAAATTAAATTGAATAAAATATTCATCATTGTGTATTTAATATATAATTGAATAATGCAAATAATCACTCATAAAAATTCTAGCCATTGTATGTTAAAAATGTGCACTGTAATTACATTAACTTTGGTATTTGACAGTTCAGATAACAGTTCATTCAATGTAAATTATAATTTGGTACAATTTATCTACATTTGCAATGCATATTATTTATATATGTATATTTTGTATAAGTAATTTTCTTTGTTTTTCTACTCATTTTATATTTTTATTCAATCTTATATTTTAATTCAGTCAATGACACACAGAAATATTTGAAATATTCACATATAAATGAATGATATATACCTTCTTTGACTTACAACAGAAATTAAGAATAACCGATAAAGGTTATATACTTTGATTATTTAAATTTATTTGCTGCGTTAAAAGATAATTGTACCTTTCACATTGTTCCTCGGTATTGAGAGCAATATATTTCAGTCGACATTTAAGAATTACACCGATACATTTTGTCAGTTATCTATGACTTGCGAACATAACTCTAACTTTTATATACATGCAATTCATGCAAATATAAAACATAGAAAGGAAATAATTGTGGTTATCGACTGTGCAACTCAGATATTAGAAAGTTTAACATCGAAATAAATGCAACTCTAACAATATAAAAGACATTAGAGAGAGAAAAGGGCGGGAAGAAAAATGACTATAAATGGTTGATTCGAATTGTCGAATAAACTTATTTTCATGTAATAAAATGCATCAAATTTTACGCGATAAATAGACATTCCGTGACCTCGGCAAAAATGAATGTAGGTACGTGTACAAGATCCCATAAAGGTATCCTCGTCGTTTTGCGACGAAGAAAGATCGCCATAAGTTTTTATTCGCAAGTGTTCCACCTTGAGACTGGTTTTACGTGAGACGGTGACCGTCAAAATTTTATTAAAATTTAAACAAGAAGTGCGTTGTGGT